TTCTGGATATCAGCCCTTTCTCGGATGTGGGGTTGGTGAAGACCTTTTCCCATTCTGTAGGCTGTTGGTTTGCCTTGTTGACCATATTCTTTGCTCTACAAAAGCTTCTCAGTTTCAAGAGGTCCCATTGATTGATTGTTTCTCTCAGTGTCTGTGCTACTGGTGTTATATTTAGGAAGTGATCTCCTATGCCAATGGGTTCAAGACTACTTCCTACTTTCTCTTCTATCAGTGGTGCAATCAGTTAGCGAGCGGTACTTATATGATGTTTTTTGAGATGAGGAACATTAGTTTAGCACACTCAGCACTAGCTAAATGTATTAAGGGCCCATGGTCAGCTAAGTTTCGATATTATTCATTACAACTAACACATAAAAATTGCCAATTACATCAGACAAGTGCAGAGGTTATGGTGTTTGACTCTTTATATTTTGAAAAGTTTTGGCATAATATAAAAAGGCTGTTTGATCCCTCCTGGATTCTCACTTATGTTTTGATTGGCGGGTGCTTTTAATCTTTCTCCTTTTTAAGTGTCTCCTATAGCACATCTGGCAACACCTGGCAGCCACTAAGATGACTCTAGACTCTACAGGTATTAATGGCTCTTAGACATCCAACTCATAGGCCTCCCTCCACAGGAGGTTATGCATGCCTGGCTTTCTGAAATTCAAAAGGTTCCTGCCTGATCCTCCCCACCAGGGGTGATTCCTCAGGGATGAACACTCTTCAAGGGCTGATTGTCAACAATGGGTAACAGTTTGTTTGGCAAGCCAACCAAAGACAGGCATAGTCCAGTTGCTGAACCTTCCAGAGGCAGGGTCAACAAGGCTGGAGCAAAGAACTCCTACTCCTGCTGAGTACCCACATAATAAAATAAAAGGGTAGATAATATGTAATAGGACAGGCCAATAGCATCAAGGAAATTGGCTCAAACCAGTTTCCAAGGCATGCACAAAATATATCTCCTTATGAGCTAACCTGGAGTCTGCCTGAGGGCCTAGCAAAAGCTCTGTCCAGAGTTCCTGATTGTGCAGAGTCTGCCTGAGGGCCTAGCAACAGGTGCTATTCAAGGTCCTGATCATGTGGAGTCTGTCTGAGGGTTTAGCAGCACTCACTGCCCAGACTTCCAGATCATGCCTAGCTAATGAGGGATGACCATGCAATGTCACCAGATCAGGACACAGCCAGGGTGGGGAGAGGAGGTTATATAAGGCTTTTCTCATTACTGAATAAACAAGTCTGTGTCATTGACACTGTGCCTTCTCACCCACTCCTCTGAGGGAGCTGTTAAGGCCCAGCAATAATTTGATCTGGCAAAATGAGAGAAAATACTCTTCATGAGTTTAAAGTTTTATATTTAATTTGCCTTCTTTTTTCTTTTATTTATTTAAAAAATTCTCTTTCCTTTACAGACCAACCTCTGTTCCACTTCCTTCCCCTTCTCCTGCTTCCCCCCACCTACCCCCATCTCACTCTATTCCCTCCCCATAGAGGGTAAGATCTCCTTTGAGTAGTCAACACAGGCTAGCATACCAAGTTACGGCTGGACCTAGCCCCTTCTCCTCGCATCAAGGCTGAATAAGGCATTGTACCATAGGGAATGGATTCTAAAAAGCCAGTTTGTGTACCTGGGATAAATCCTGGTCCCACTGCCAGTGGACCCACAAACAAATCAAGCCACACAACTGTCAACATTGTGTGGGCCTAGTTTCGTACCATGCAGGCTCCCCAGCTGTCAGTCCAGATTCTATGAGCTCCCACTAGATTGGGTCATCTATATGGTTTTTCCCATCATGATTCTGATACCTCTGCTCTTATAATTCTACCTCTCTCTCTTCAGCTGATTTCCAGAGTTTTTATACAAGATTGCATTCCCACCAGCAGTGGAGGAGTACTCCCCTTTCTTCATATTCTCTCCAACATAAGCTGTCATCTGTGTTTTTTATCTTAGCCATTCTGACAGGCATAAGGTGATACCTCTAAGTTGCTTTGATTTGCATTTCCCTGATGGCTAAGGATGTTGAACAATTCATTATATGTCTTTTGGCTACTTGAGATTTTTCTGTTGAGAATTCTCTGTTTAGTTTTGTAGCCATTTTTAATTGGATTATTTGATATTTTGCTGTCTAGTTTCCTGAGTTCTTTATATATTTTGGAAATTGGTCCTTTATCAGATGTGGGGTTTCTAAAGATCTTTTCCCATTCTGTAGGCTGCCTTTTGTCTTAATTTGCTTTCTATCATATCTAAGAAACACTATAAGCTTAACTCTTTAATATTTAAGTCCATCAAAGACCCCAGAAAGATGAAATTTTACCTCGTGACTGGGACATCAGGCTTCCTGAACAGTTATTCAAAATTCCTCTGTAACATTGAGGCATCCAACTCTGGCCTACAGGCCTAGTGTATTTGACAGACTTTCCTGTGAAGGAGGGAATTTTCAAGGACTATCCTATCTTCTCTTGGTAAAGTTCAGCAGTAGCCTTTTTTGCATCCTGCTGGTCCAGTTTGGACAGTGTTGAAGTACAAGTGCCTTGTTGGGCTGGCCCTGCCCCTAACTGGCCTGGGGATAATGGACCCCATCATACCCTGCTATCACAGGAAAGCTAGTCCTGCCCTTCACCATGGGCATGGAAGATCCAGCTCCAACCCTTACCTGAGGAGAGTGGTCCCAGTGGCTCAGACTTACCAACTCAGCAGCTACTCAGGTACACATATAGGCTTTAAGCTGGCACACCCCAACATCTACCCCATCTATGACCTGCTAGAGTGCATGAAGAGACTGGTCCTGTTAGAGCCATGGCAACATGGTGTACATGACTCAGGGCAACAGTGGGATGTCTGGGAAGTTTCTATGGTGGTCCAGTGTTGATGGTATGCAGGAGATCATAGGCCTTGAACCTGACCAAAAGCACCTTCTACAATGAACATTTGCAAGGAAGGCTGTTTGGACAAAAGGGTATATTGCATGATACACAGCAGCTTCAAATGCCAGAAAGATGAATGGAGAGGCAAAGATGGAGGAGTAAAGTGGTTTGGGGTTTTTATTGTTGTTTTCTTTTTCTTTGTTCTGTTTTGTTTTTTTGTTTTTATTTTTATATTTTTTATTTATTTAACATCCTGGCTACAGTTTCCGCATTCTCCTGTCCTCCTAGTCCCCAAACTTCTTCCCCTTCATTTCTGTTCAGAAAACGACAGGTCTCTGATGAATATCAACAAAGCATGGCATGTCAAGTTGAGGTAAGACTAAACACTTCTCCATGTATTAAGGCAGGGCAAGGTTCCCCAATAGTAAAAGAGTCAGAGACAGCCCCTGATCACACTGTTAGGGGTCCCACAAGAAGACTAAGCTATACAACTGTAACATATATAGAGAGGGCCTAGGTTAGTCCTGTGCAGGCTCCTGGTTGTCATTTCAGTCTCTGTGAGATCCTATGAGCCCAGGTTAGTTGGTTCTGTGGATTTCTTGTTGTGTCCTTGACTCCTCTGGCTCCTACAATCCTTTCATCCTGTCTTCTTCAGGACTCCCCAAGTTCAGCTGAATGTTTGGCTGTGGGTCTACATCTGTTTCCATCAGTTGCTGGATGAAGACTCTCTGATGACAATTGGGCTAGGTACCAGTCTATGAGTATAGCAGAATATCATTTAGCATCATTATATTGACATTTTTTCTCTACTCATGTTTGGTTTTATCCTAGGTCTCTAGGTTATCCAGCCTGTGGGTCCTGATGCTCCCGGAAATGTAAGGGGTGGGCTTAATCTTCCAGTATGGGTTTTAGGCTATTGCTAGTCATTTGGTTGGACATTCTCTCAATCTCTAGGCCACCCTTATCCCAGCATATCCCATAGATAGGATAGACTGTAGGTCAAATGTTATGTGGCTGAGTTGGTTTCCCACTCCATCCACTTGAAGTCTTATCTGGTCACAGGAGATGGCCAGTTCCAGTTATGTATCTGCTCTTGCTAGGAGTCTTAGCTAGGGTCATCCTTGTAGATTCCTGGGAGATTCCCTTGTGCCAGGTTCTTACCTGACCCCCAATACCCCACTTTCCAGTAGACTCTTTCATGACTTTCCACATTTGTTCCACACCCCAACATGATCTCTCAAGTTCCCATTCTCACCCACCCTCAGTCCATTCAAGAAATCTCTTCTATTTCTCATTCCCAAGGAGATCTGGGCATTCCTCCTTGAAACCTCATTACCTCATCTCTTTGGATTGTTGCTGTGGGGTGTCTTTCTATATGCTGTGAGTATGTCTTGCTCCCATTGGCTAATAAATATGCTGCTTTGGCCTATGGCAAGGCAGCTTAGAGGCAGACAGGAAACCCAAGCAAAGATACAGGGAGGAGAAAGGTAGAGGGAAGAGATGCCAGCCTGCTGCCCAAGGAGCAATAAGATGCCACCAGACTGGTAACTCCACAGCCACTTGGCAACACATAGATTAATAGGAATGGGTTAATTTAAGATGCAAGAGTTAGCTAGCAAGAAGATAAAGTCATAGGCCATACAGTCTGTAATTAATATAAGCCTCTGAGTGATTATTTTATAAGTGGCTGCAGGACCATGAGTGGGAAAGATTCATCTGGACTATGGGACAAGGCAGGACCAAAGAAACTTCAAACTACATTTGGTGCCCAAATGTGATGGAAAGAATTACTAAATTGGATGACAGAACTTACTAAAATGGAGCTAAGAGCAGCTTCTTAGTTCATATGTCTCATAGAGGCCACATTACAGAGATATCGCTGTACAGAGATACTATGGCATTTGAGCTTGAGCACAGCCTGGAGGATTCCCACCATGGTTTACAGAGGCATTTCCAAGCTGTGCAGTACACTGCATGGTGGATTTAGTTTTTGCTAGTAAAACAAAACAAAACAAACCAACAACAGTAAAAAAAAAGACCAGGTTTATGGCTACATGCTGTTTGATGGAGGCATAGATCCATTGCTTCCCAGAGTTGGCAATGAGCATGGTACTCAGATCTGACAGTAAACATACCTCTGCCATGTTGTTAAGCTGAGATGGGTGGAGTCAGCAGCCAAGGCTGCCGAATTGTTCCTAGCCACTCAGCTTAACAGTTTAAAATCTCTCCTGGTCAGAGAAAGATTATACATTCATAATAAGACAGATTCAGATAGAACAAAACTCTAAAGAGTATACATTGTGAGTAAAAAAGTACATAGGCTTGAGAGAGAAAAGTGAAAGTATATAGTCATAAAAATAGAATAAAGTATTAAAAATAATATATAAAATTCTAGTGAGCCATGTAAAGATAGAAATTACACAGAGTCTGGATTGTGTTGTAGATGGGATCTTTAACTACAGAGAGACATTTGGTTTTAAAGGCTACTAAGTTAAACCAATATATATTGTAAAGGTATATTGACTTCAAAATTTGTGTCTGAGGATATGTTGCTTTGGAAAAGAGGTTCTACTTTTGTTTCCACAGAAGATGAGAGTCTGTGGATTGCTTCCAAGCTAATATGGTTTGATCAACCCAGATTCCCTGAAAGGTCACTGATGATTGGCATGGCCCAGATGATCCAACATCCAAAACAGCTTCAAAGCAACTGGCTGAGATGATCCAGCCTCACAGACTACTACAGCCAAGGTTTAACTATAATTCTTAATTTTCTCAGGATCCCCATAAGATTGCCAGCAACCCCGATCAGCATGAAGTAGTATGGGAAGTTATGTCCAAATTCCCAAAATATTGTTTATAAATGTTTATTTTTATTTGAAGTGGGTTGATTATAAATGCAATCTCTTTTTAAAGAAGAAAAGTAGATATAGATATTATAGGATGAAAGGGTAAATATTGAATCTAGTTTTAAAGAGCAACAACTTGTTTGGAATGTTTTACATTGCTATGGATATTAGTTTATTAATATAAATTTAAAGTTAGTTTTGTTATACCGTAAATATATTTCTATTCTTGTTTAAGGTATTATGTTTATGCAAATCAGTTAAAATTGTAATGTATAATTAAGAAATACAGATTAATAATTAGTCATCTATGATAATCAAACATATAGTCATGTTAGTTAAGTTTTCCAGGTATACATAGATACATTTCAATTAGGTAGATATTCTTCAAACACTTTGAAAACATACAGAATATAGCATTTAAAATGTTTTAATAACTTAGAATTTTCTGAACCTTGAGACATGTCTGCTCCTGGCAGCACCAATCTACTTCAGAGAAGATGATGGGCATCAAAGAAACTCCATATGGAGTTTGTTTTCTTTATGGCAAAAAGTTAGCCATTTTGGGCAAGAAACTGCTTTTGCCTGGACTGCTTGATATGTGTTGTATAAACTGGAAATGTAGAACCCATAGGAAGGTGAACACTGAATTTTGCCAGGTAAGATGGTCCTTTAGGTTTCTGCTTCACAAAAGAAACTGCCAGACATTTTATAGGACATGGGGAGAAGTGACTGATGAACTTTGCCAATAGGTGACACAATCCTTCAAATTTCCTGCTTCACCAAAACATCTGCCAGAGACTCTAGGCCTGTAAGCTGAAGATGGATGTCCCAATGTTGCAGAGGAACTTTGGGTGACTGTCCAGGCAGCCAGATATCTCTGTCATTTCTAGAACTTTGGAAGTTGCATACAATGTACTTCCTGTTTACTTAGGCAATATTTTATCCTTCTGGGTTCTTTGATGAAGTTGAAGACTTGGTAGTTATAATTATAGTCTTCCTTAGTTATGATAAAAGATAAATTAGATATGGAACTTTGACTCACAAAAATAATATAGATGATAGATTTCTTTAATTTTGCTAAATACAAATAGATTAGATATTGTACCTATAATTCTTCCTTGATAACTGTTTTTTTACATGTAATTTTACTATATTAAAATGAAAACCTTCCTTTCTGATTAGACAGGAAAGGGGAAGTACTGTGAGATGTCTTTCTGTATGCTATGAATATGTTTTGCTCCCACTGGCTAATAAATAAGCTGCTTTTATCTATGGCAGGCCAGCTTAGAGGCCAATGGGAAATCCCAGCAGAGATACAGGGAGGAGAAAGGCAGAGTCAGAGAGATGAGAGCTTGCCACACAAGGAGTAACAAGATGCCAGCAGGCCAGTAACACCATGGCCTTGTGGCAACACATAGATTAATAGGAATGGGTTGAGTTAAGTTGTAAGAGCTAGCTAGTAACTGTATAGTCATGGCCATACAGTTTGTAATTAACATAAGCCTCTGTGTATTTACTTGGAACCAAGCAACTGCGGGACTGGGCAGGACACAGGAAAACTTTTGATAACAGATTGTAGCATAATTATCCTTTATTTTACAGCTAATATCTACTTATGAATGATTACACACCATGTTTGTCTTTCTAGGTCTGAGTTACCTCACTCAGGATGATTTTTTCCAGTTCCATCTATTTACCTTCAATGCTTGTTTTTGTTTTGTGTTTGTTTGCTTTTTAATTGAAAGTGATAGACTTATTTGTATTGTTAATATTTAATTAAAAATATTTTTCTTTCTTTTAATCTTCATCTTATTTTTATTATTTCTTTTTTAATTTTCCTTCAAGGGTGAGGGGTTGATATGAAGGAAGTGGGAGATGAGTGGGATTTTGGTGCCTGATGTGAAATTCCCAAAGAATCAATTTAAAAAAATGTTAAAAAAGAACTGTAATGTCCTCTTGGTAGATTTTTCCTTCAATGTCCTTCCCTATCCTGATAAGTTTTAGTTTGGTTTCATCAGATATTAAGATGGCTACCTCAGACATCTGAAGTACATTTGCTTGATATCTTTTTCTATCCTTTAACTCTGAGGTGATACCTATCATTGATGTTAAGGTATGTTACTTGGATGAAGCAATAAGATGGAACTTATGTTCACATTTATTCTCTATTATTTTATATCTTTTTGTAGATGTAACCAACCGTCTTATTAAATAAGAAACACAGAAACAATGTAAAAGAGAAAGCCGAGAGGTCAGAGCTCAGAGCTAAAATCTCACCCTTCCGCTTGCGGTGTCCCAGCTTCCCGAAAATGAGCTATTGTTGTTGTTGTTTTTTTTTTTTTTATAGTATGTTGTTCTGCCTTCTCATTGGTTGTAAACCCAAACACGTGACTGCCTCATCACTGTCTGAATGTACAGCCCCCTAGGTCTTAAAGGCATATGTCTCCAATGCTGGCTGTATCCCTGAACACACAGAGATCTATGGGATTAAAGGCGTGTGCCACCACCGCCACACTCTGTCTATGGCTCTAATAGCTCTGACCCCCGGGCAACTTTATTTATTAACATACAATCAAAATCACATTTCAGTACAATTAGAATACCACCACATCTTTTAATAGAGGAAGTGAGACCATTGATGTTGACATATTATCAATAAGCAGTGCTTGTTAATTCTTATTTTGCTGTGGTGTGTGTGTGTGTGTGTGTGTGTGTGTGTGTGTGTGTGTGTGTTCTCTCTTTTGATTTGATGGTCTGGAATTCTTCATTCATTTTGTTTTATTGGGTATGGTTAACCTCTTTATGTTGGAGTTTCCCTTTTAGCGCCTTCTGTAGGGCTGGATTTGTAGATAGATATTACTTAAATTTGGTTTTATGATGGAATATCTTATTTTCTCCACTATAGTGATTTGATAGTTTTGCTGGGTATTGTTGTCTGGGCTGTCACCTGTGGTTTCTTAGATTCTAGAACATCTGTCCAGGCCTTTCTGGCTTTTAGAGTCTCCATTGAGATGTCAGGTGTTAATCCAATAGGTCTACCTTTATATATTACTTGATCTTTTTCCCTTACAGATTTGAATAGCCTTTCTTTGTTTTGTATGTTTAGTGTTTGACTATTATGTGCTGAGGGTGCTTTCTTCTCTGGTCCAGTCTATTTGTTGCTCTATATTCTTCTTGTACCTTGACAGGCATGTCCTTCTTTAGGTTTGGAAATATTTCTTCTATACAAAATATTTTCTATGCCTTTGACTTTTAATTTTCTTCCTCTATTTTTACCATTCTTAGATTTGATCTTTTCATAGTATCCCTATTTCCTGGATGTTTTGTCTCAGGATATTTTTAGATTTAACATTTCCTTTGAGGGAAGTATCCATTTATTCTATTGTGTCTTCAATGTCTAAAATTTTGTCTTTCATCTCTTGTGTTTTGTTGGTGAGGTTTGCCTTTGAGGTTCGTGTTTGAGTTGCCATAGTTTTTACTCCAGATTTCCCTAGGTTTAGGTTTTCTTTATTGATTCTATTTCCACTTTCATACGTTGATTATAATTATTCATTTCTTTCCATTGTTTGTGTTTTCACAGACACCTTTAAGTGACCTATTAATTTCTTCTTAAGGTTCTCTATCATATTCATAAAAGATATCTTAAGGTCTTTGTCTTATGCTTCAGCTATGTGGGAATTCTCAGGTTTTACTATTTTAGGGTTTCTGGGCTCTAGTGGATATATATTGTCCTGACTATTTTGATGTGTTTTCATGTTGGACTTAAGGCATTTGGGTTTAGGAAAATTATAGTTCTAAGTGTTCCTATCTGGTCTTGCCTTTGTTGGGTAGGTGTTTTGTTCTTTGGTTTCTGTTGCCATCTCTCATTCACAGGAGAATATAGTGGCTATGTGTTGCCTGCTAGGGAATTCTTCTAGGATCCTTCAAGGTGTGGCCATTGTGGTTTTTAGGTAAAATGTGTGTTTCTAAACATTGGGAGCTTATCCTTAGGAATGAGGATGGAGTAGGGGTGCTGAGGGTGTCCATGGGAGGAAGAAAAGCAAGATGTTCCACCAGGATCTGTTAGTCTCCTGGGTATGGGGGCAGAGAGTGAAGAGAATCCATAGCAGATAATCTGCTACAGAGCTGGGGACGAGACTCAGGGATTGGATTTGGTGGAGTGGAGAAAAAAATGAACGTTTGAAGCTTGCCTACATGCTACACTAGTCTACATGCTTTTACAGCAAGCTTGACTTTTGGGTTCCCAGGGAATGCCTGCTGGTGTTGGGTGCTGGAATACTGGGATGAATGGGGTAAGG